ACCAAAGTAAAAAACAACACCAAACACACACACTCATGATCACTCATGTACCCCAAAACACGACACTCACACACAAAAAGGAACTAGCTTCTACCTGGATGATCGATCTGGGTCCAAACCCTGCACTGCAATCCAGCCACGCCCTTGGCACACTGGAGGTTGGTCGAATCCGATGGAGTTCTGTGACCCCAACGCTCCCAACGGCCCTTGGTCATTCTATACCCAGACACTCCATGTATGCCATATATGCCTACATTGACCCCCAAAACCACCCCAATGTAGGCATATATTGCATACATGGATAGGGATTTGAGACCCCAAAGCCCTTCATGGGTCGATTTTGTCAGACTTCGCGTCGATCGAGCACCGCACAAAGGTCGCTGATCAAGCAACCGATCAAGACCGCTGCCAGCCCATTGTAGCGCATGAAGAGCGACAGGATTTTCCTCCAGCATGGACCGTGCCATGAATGGGACCAAAAACTTGAGATCCGCTCGCGCACGAAGCTGTCCTGCAAAACAACTACACCACATGGCAAACATGGAAACATGCTTTTTTAAGCAAAGCAACCAGCAAAAACCGTCCATGAGTCTGGCGCACTCAAATAATATACAAGCCTCAAACATCCTCAATCTAGTGCAAACCACATCTACAAACCTCCCGGATGGAGGGTTTGGACCAAATCGCACGGATCCACGAGCTTCATAAACCCGTCTTTCTAACCCCTAGTAGGGCTCCTGGCCTACCTCCGTTTCGAATGGGTGCCAGGGCGGTCGAACCACCTGAAGATATGGCTGGAGCCTTAAGGAACGTCCTTGTGCAAATCTTCATGATTTTGAGGCCGCAGTGCCTTCCCACAGCCGCGAAAGGCGTTGTACGCCCTGGTGACTCTCACTACGTCGGGCGTCAAGACCTCCATGCGCGCCACGTAGGTCGCCACCGCCTGAGCTGTGTGGCGCTTTCGGGCCACACAGTATGTGTGGCGGAGATGCTGAACAATTCGGCTGAGCCTTTGAAATCAGTAATAACTTGAAAATTATTCAAGTAATTAGAACTTAATATTACAACTGACATACTATTCTGCCCTGTTACTTATTGTGTTAGTCAGTTACTGCCTTTACAACTTAATAATACAGTATATCGATATTTTGCCCGGGCACTATTGTTGCAACATCATGTCAGTCATGTCATAAAGTCTTAGCGTTCTGTGTGTGAGGTGTCTCGTATTTCCTGTCGGGTAGCAACTTGACTCCTAGAAACCTAGAAACCTCTCTTTGGTGATGGCACACTGCACAGCGTGTTGGTCGTGGCCTTCTCCTGCACTTCAACGGTCTGCCTCTCTTCAACGGAGTCGCTCGATGAGGAGTCAGAGGATGTCCGGCCAAAGGACGTGGCAATCGATCCAGCCATGTCGTGCCAAATAAGGAACGAATAGACATCGAGTTCGTTGAATACACTCCTAATGTCGGGCATAGTCGTCATAATCGAGCCAATAGCACCCGCATGATGAACGACATTTGCAAACATGTTTTGAATTAACTTTTGTTTCACATCTATGACATATATTAAGGTCTTTATACTTGTCATCTGCGCCATCCGATACATTGGATTCCTACAAAAGGCCAAGTGGCCATAGCCATCCTGCAGCAACTTACAAAAACAACAAACACCACATCCACTATGAAGCGTCACTTCAACCCTGAGGCCTAAGGTACGAGTGCATGCATGCAGTAGACACCAAATGCGAGATTCTCAATCCACGGCATCCGCAGTTTGTTATTTCTTAATGGATGCTTCCCTAAACAAATGAAATCTATGCATGTCCCACAGGAGTCCAACGTGTCATATTCCACCTACTTCAACGCAATGAATCTTAGCTTGACAATTAATTAGTTTCCCAAGTCGTCTTGTGATGGGTTGTCCCTTGCAACATGGGATGTTCATAAGACTGGCAAAGTGGGTGCCTGATCTCTCCTCAGTCGTCTTGAGACACCTCGCCACATGTCTCGAACAGACCCGTCCCCCACCCCCAAAAAGTCTATACACTGAAACCTCACGTGGTGTCAGAGGTTTGATGGCACTGGCACCCCAAGATGCCTTGATGGGGCGGCGTTACGCTTCGAACCATCCATCTATCCGAGCCCCCGCACGGCGTTTTGCAGCAGTGGCCACAAACACGACAAGACCAGGCCAGGTACCTCGGGGAAACGGAGATCGTTTCCCCGTAGCCCTGTGGCTTGAAGCGTGAGAGCCGCCCGATTTGGGGACCAATGAACCTTGGATGTAGAATGAATTCGATGAGATGTTTGACAATGCTTCTAGGTGCGGGAGGGGTGTGTGACCACCGCAGCTGGAACCTCACTGGGAGATGAGAGGCTGGCGCCTCGTTGGATTCGGATATGGAAATTTCAAGACTAGTAGTTATGCCCTTGATACTAGCAGCGATGCCCTTGTTTCTAGTAGCTTCTATGCTACTGACTATAGCACCTTGACTGACTTATATACCCCAAAAAAGCGCATGTCCGCATGTCAATCAAGACTGAATCTACAATCTGAGGAAGTTGCTGCCAAATTGTTCTGTTGAAGCACGCCACTACAAAGACACACATTTAACAAAGACTAATATATAGTGGATTGAGAGTAGATGGCACAAACCCCAAGAGGTGGTTTATATGGATCCCCATCTAAAAGACATCTTGGGGGTTGTGCCATCTACTCTGAAACCACTGTATATACATTGTGTCTGTACAGTCACGCTTCACAAATCACAATGGGTACCTTCTAAGATTCTCAACATGATTCATCGCACCTATGTACTGTTATCCAAGACTTGGAGAAAAGAAACAATCATGGAAATGGCACGGCCAAGCAAATGGCTCTGTTTCTCTGCCAAACGTAGGCAGAATGTGGTGAGAAGACCTTTGACTGAGCAAACTGCCAAGGCCGGGCTGCACCAAAGCTGCACTTTTCTCACGCTTCTTCTAGCAAACACTTGAAACCCCTTGGGAGTTTGCGTCAATGCAGTCTGGTCGAGGGAGGGAAGCTTCTAAGACCTGACCTCATCACAAAAGGTATGGCATTCTATTCTTTAATGTGTGGAACTCTCACAGCCTCTGACAAAGCAATGACCTCCTCAGCAAAAGTGACAAAAATCATTGGATGTGCTTGACCGAACCACGGTCAGTGACACCTCTGTGGCAGAACTAGCACAAGAAAATAATCCAAGCCAACCTGGGCCTACCTGCCTATGCATCTGGAAAGGCGGGTGACAGCTTGGGGATTCCGAAGACCTGTCCGTTGAATATGGTGCAACTCATCCCTCAGTCGATCAACCATCGATCAGACCAGTCCAGCGCAGGAAATTCCACAGGTGGCTACCGTGCGCCGGCAAGGCTGAGCTTTCGCTTTTTCAGGTCGAGGAACTCTTTTTAGTTGTTTCCATTTGTTTCCTCTCCATGAGCGGGCGACTACTGGCGTGACCATAGCCATACAGCAGCGTAAAAAAGAAGACTGCTCCCCTAGGCCCTATATAAACATCGGACACCCCTTTCCAAAGCCAAGCTGTTTGGCTCAGCCAGACCGACTTGGGAGAGTCTTCGGTCCGTCATTCGGACTGGCTCTGGTTGCCACTGCGAACCACGGTTTGCCCGTGTCGTGCGTTAGGTCAGATCTGGCTGGGGCGTCTTCAGTTGGACGCCGGCAGATCATCAAGGTGCCTGTTTCACAGGACGCTTGGGAATTGGCATTACTGCGGCATACTGCGGCTCTGTTTTTGGGCTCCACTTTTGGTATGAACTCCTACAACAGTCAGCTGACTGTAGCGTCCGAGAGTGGCAGCTGTAGCACATGGATTTCAAAACCGCGGGTGGTCGTGTTTGGGGGACGGTTTCTTCGACTGGACCTGAGGGATCTGAGGGGCCATTTTTCTTCGCACACTGCGGGGGAAAGGGTCGCGAGCTCGAGCCGCCCCGCAACAAACATCATTGACGCTGGGCAGCTGGGACTAGATCCCTAGACCCGACATGGGCCGAGCAAAGCCGGGAGAAACGTTTCTCCGTAAAGCCAGGCCGTGGTGAACTCAAGTTCTTTTACCCACCCTGAGCCTAGTTGGTGGATGCTGATGCTATCTGATGACTGTAAAATCAGGCTTTGTCACTCCGACTCCGGTGTGTCACAACTCTCTGACTCCAAGTCCAATCAATGTTTCAATAGAGTCTAAGTTCCAGGAATCCTTTTCCTGTAAACGGCTTCAATTATCTTCATAAGATGTTAAACTGATATGATATATATATATATATACAGTACAGTTTCTTATTATAAAAGCTTTTCTTATTACAAAATCCCTACCAATTCCCTAGGGGGCGCGTCAGCTAATTGTAAGTTACAATTTCCTAGGTTTGATACCTCAAAATGTAACTTACAATTACTATATCACCTAAAAATCATTGTAACTTACAATTTTGAGGCCTCAAGGTGGGTCAGACATCCCCCCGGCCTCAAAAATGTAACTTACATTTTTCCAAAATTGTAACTTACATCTGAAAAAAGAAACATGTAAGTCAACACTGTTCAGGTATGTCTTCCTGCAGTTTACACCACTTTTGTTCACTGTCAAGCTGTTTCTGATTACATGTTCTAGCTATCGGTTGGTTCCCCGCGGTTCGCCGTTGAGGTGCCATCCCTCACCGTGGTGCACCGGGGAGACACAGGGAACTCCACAAGGTCGTGAACGGGTCCCGCGCTGTCGCCCTGGGGTCGGAGATGTCTACACAGTAAGTTACATTCCCCCCCCTTTTAATCTCAGGAAGTTACATTTATTAACCCCCCGCCAAAGTGAGTGGTTTGTGGGGGGGGGTTGATAAATGTAAGTACAGGCCTCGGACGTCCTAAGTTACATTTTCGAGGACCCCCCCCCGTAAAAAAGGACGTCAAGGGGGGGTTACTTACAATAAAAAAGACCCTAGGGGGGACCCAGAAAATGTAAGTTGCATTTTTGAGGCCCCGCCCTCAAATCCATGGGTAAGGGGGTAGGGATATTATAAACAATTTCTTGCGCTAATCATTTTCATATGATATAATCATGTTAAAAATCTCTGTGCCCGAGCCACTTGCCATTCGTTCGACGTGTCCGACGGGCTGCGCATGGCTGCGCCATCGACCTGGCAACTTTTCACTGGGCACCGGACGCAAAAGAGGCACGACTTTATTTGTTATTGTCCAACACATTTTTCTTGTGTGAGAAAGTGTAATTAAACATAGAAAGAATTGTGACCGAGGAATGGGACTCACTTGTTCAATAGCCTGGAAGAATCAAAGAATTGAGGTCTTATCGTTTTTGGTCAATTTTTCTGCCAGCACACAGAGGTTGGGAGCTAGAAGCACAGGAATCCTAGATTATCCTGCAAGGTTATGTTCAAACCATTTCTGTGTTGCCAAGGCGAATATGCAACCACTTCGAAGCACTGAAGGAACTGCCATGCTTGCCTGATGTGCATGACCTGGTGTTGCAGTTACAGACTCCCAAACTCAAATTCGCGTTCATGCCAATTGACAGTGACTTACTATATTGATCTACATTGTTCGAAGACTTAGGTTTCTGCACAAAGCCTTCATAATTAATGGTCATGGCATGTCTCGACCTGGCTCAGAGTGGTGTGGAAAATTCACCAAACCGCCGCAAGGTTCTGAAGCACCCGCCACCGGACCAATCAACCAGCTCACATCTGGCAAGAGTTGGTTTTCGCCCCTGTTCGCCCCGGTTGCACCTGCTAAGTCTCATTGCCCAACACTTTGGCCTGACTGGTGCAGCGGGAAAGGTCAGGTGCCCAGGTGCCTGGTCTCCAACCCAGTCGGATGGGGACCGAACACAACCGGTCACTGGCATTCGCATCCATCCGGTGAAATCGACAAACGAGCGAAAAGGCTAAGCAGCTAAGCTCTGTCAGTGGGACGCCTCCCAAGTTCCAATTGACCAGGGCCGATTGCCGATCGCAGGGCCGGGGGCCATGAACTCCATTGAAGCAAATGTGCGCACCGTGCACGAAGCCAGAGATTCTGGGCCCCCAATGCCATTGGCAAAGCTTTCAAAACACAGGGTGTGTTGGTGAGACTTCTTGAGACTTCAAGGTGGAGGTGAGTGTTCTTCCTATCCAATTGGGAAATAAAACAGATCTTTTCCATGCACCCAAGGGCCCTCACCGGACATCACGGCACCAAGCGCCGTACACACATCACGAAGTCCGAGGTCACGTCCCTTTTTCGGGTCACCTCTTTCGACCGTTTAAACAAAGCGTCTTGGACTCTCAGGGGGGTTGGTTACAGTAATGCCAACATCTAGAAGCTCCAGGCCATTTGCAGTCGAGCAATGATAAAGAAATGCTTGCTATATGTCATGATCGCAACCAGCTAAATCCGACCATCCACAAGTTCAAGATACTTCAAGCTGCCAAGCGGCATGATCCTCTTCCGGCAAGCTCTTCATCATCCGGGCCATCAACATTAATGAGCTGCGGACCCTGCAGCAAGTGACATCAAGGAAAGCCAGAAGGGCATCTGTGGAATGGGGCTGAGCTTCCCCCCTTATCGCCGTCGCGCAGCACATCTAAGGACACCTTTCACCTCAGTTCTTGGATCAATTGGATCAACTGCCCTGAGTGAGCCAAGCTTTCAGACATTGCTTTCAAGTGTAACAGTGTATCTAGACATTGGCCCAACTTGGCATAGCCTGTCGTTTCTGAAAGGATGTCTGACAAAGGATGTTTCACCCCTGAAAAGCCTGTAACGGTTACATGTGCAACTTGGAAGACCACCTGCACGGGAAGTACCGTCCCCAAAAGCCATGAATCCATGAAGATCATCTTCCAATCCATGTTCAGTCTTCCCAACAATTCCTCAGTCCCTCTGGCACCCCGCACCAAAAAAGCAAACACAAAGCTACCGCAAAAGCTAGAGCGCATCATTTTTTGAACATCGTCTCTCTCTCTCTCTCTCTCTCCTCCGACAGCGCCACGAGCTCATGCCATGTTCCCTCGAATTCCTGTTCCGCCTGCTCGCACCAGAACAAACATGTATATAAATCCTGACATGAATTCCACGCGCGTCGCAAACTCACCAGCACCCAAAAAAGATGCCCCAAAACCACGAAAATCCCACGTGCCAAGTTAGGAAGATCGTCTTCGCTGCTCGCGTTCCCGCCCTTGTCCCCCCCCAGCTCGCTTCCGGTCCGTGGAAGCGCCCGGTCGACCGAACGGGGACAAACCAGGTGTCGACGCGGTGTCGCTCGACGGCCTCTTCCACCTGGCCTTCACCACCTTCCGGACCTGGAAGAAGACACCACCCGAGTGACTCAATGAATCTCGGGATGGATCAGTGGGGTGGTTGTAAAGGTGCTTGACCTTGTGTCATTGGCATGAATTCCACACATGGAATGTTTGGCAAGGTGCGAGATGGTGCGATTTCAATAGATTTGCAACGTTCCGCTGTTGACCAAGGTCTCTTCTCAAGGAGCAAACGTGGCTGGCAAATGGCTGCGGGAGACTAAACTACCTGGCACCTCCTCCAGGTACTCACCCCATCAGGTCTTGGGAGCCAGGGCTTCACCCGGTGGATTCCGTCCGGGAAGTCTGGGTGCCGTGACCTAACCCAGAATGAATTGTGACCTACTTACCTACTTGCTGCAAGTAGCTTAAAATACATGCTTGTCCTGTCCAGGTGGATGATCAAAAAGGTCATGCACGGGCCTCCTCATTTGCGAAGTCCACCATTTCCTCACCAGTGACGTCCTTTCATGGCTGAAGGACATACAGCATGTTCAACACGATTGCCAGGGCCGAAGCATTTCTGAATCTCTAGGTTGGATCTAGTGGCCATTAGTGGCCCAAACTAGTGGGTCAACATGGATGGGAGCATAAAATAAGTGCTAGGCAAGGAAGGCCTAACGATGGTTGTAGTTCCATTCCATGCGTTCGGGTGGTATCAAGTCGTATCAGCATGCCAAGCCCTGCCTGAAACTGCCCTTGTAAGGCGTGCATCGATGGCAGGATCCATCTCAAACTGAAAAAGATCAAAGCCAAACACGTCTGGCTTTGCAAAGCCAACTGCCAGTGATGTGAAATGATGTGAAGTGCACAAGTGCATATCACATGCAAATCCTACAGCAGGGCAGGCTTGTTCATGGAATCCATGCACAAGCTAAGCTGCAGGATTTGGGTTCTGGCACCTCCATGGCCCAGTCTGGCACCTCCCCACTCCGCTGTTCTTGACTGGTCCTGGATGTTGGCGATGGTGGAGGCCATCCGCCTCAGGGGCTGTGATCTCTTGGGGTCGAACGGAGTGTGACCAGGACCCGGCTCGGAGTGGGGTCACCACTTGCGAGCGAACCTAAGGAAGGGCCAGCAAGCCTCTAGGAAGGAGCTCTTGGAGGGTACTGATAGAGATGTCATGAGATTCCGATCCAGTTACCCTTCTTCCGTCTTCCCTACCATACACCAGTCAGCTATGTGAGGCTGCAAATGGGCAGCTGTCATATCTCTCCAACACTAATTAGCTGTGCAAGCTAAAAATGTGGGTGGCCCTGTTGATGCAAATTCGGTTTCAAGGTTTTGAGCCACAGTCCAATGACTGCTAAAGGCTAATTTAATTATATACAAGAGTTCAAGAGGAGATAGGTCTTTTGGCCTTGACCTCAAAGCCACTGCAAAGGAGAAGTGTTCATCCCAGCCGGCTCAGGCTCCAACTTCATCTTGGACTGGGTGAAGCCTAGGTGCATGCATGCGCATGCGATCGCATGCGGGCACAGGATCGCGAACGCTCCCCATAAGGTTTGCTACAGCTGCTGGTTTCAATATGTTATGGAGGGGGTGGGAGTTATATAACTTTGAAGACGGGGTAGTTCCACTGGGTGGAAGCATCATGAAGGAAAAGCTTGGCTTGGTAGTGAGGGAGGATTTTCAAGAAGGGAGATCAGCTTGTGAACATGATCAACACATGTCAGGATAGTTTTGGGAGAGTACCACATCTGCAGAGTGGCCCAAAATTACCCACAAAACCGCTATAGGCTACAACGAAAGGAAGATCAACACATGCTGCAAACCTTCCAATATCGGGAGACAATGATCATGTGGAATGATTTTTCTTGGCCCGTCCAGATGGGATTTAAGAATGCATCTTCATGTGGGAGGGGGTTCTTCATCCAGATTCTACATGAGTCATCCCGCGGTTCACGACGCATGAGCATCGGTTGGTTCGGTGGTTTTGGTTCTGTCCCACCTGGAGAGCTTCGGATCGGTGCTGGACAAACACAGAGGATGATCCTGGGAACTAAATCCCCCATCATCCCTGGAAGAATCACTGGAAGTCGAAACCACCTGTTTGGGTCGTCTATCTTCAAGCTGGTCATCCTTCAAACGCGCCATGCCAGACTCTTCCGGGGAGTGTGTTCCCCCCTTCCGAAGTCCCAAATCCCAGCTGATCTCCGAGCGAGCTGCACAGCCCAACGGTCCAACCGTACCACCCGGCTCCTGGCGATCGCGACCCAGGTGCATTCGGGGAAGTCGCCGTGGATCTCGTCGATCCGCGCCAAGGCCTCGCCGGAGCCGTAGGTGGGGAGCCTTGGAAAATTTTTTGGGTGCTGAGAGTGCTCGTAGCAGAACTTCCTCCTCGTGGTTCGACCGTTCGACCCAACACATACTCAAAAACCTAAAGAACACCGCACACATCACGACTACCTTACCCTCTCCGGGGGGGGGGGGGTCAAGCACTGCAAAGGGGGTAGTGATCCACACGACCATGTCCCGATCCCAAAGAGGTCAGTCCCCGACGACCAGTGGGGAGTCGTCGAACCACCGCCGTGGCTGACTGGTCGCGGCCCCCGTGCACGTCATCGTATCGTGTGTGGATGACTGGATGACCGGTGAAGCTGGGACACATCTGAGCTACAAACACATTTGCAAGACGTGACACGTGGGGATGATCTGCACGCACCAAAGTCCTGGTGAAACCTTGAGATGATGGAGCGAAATGCCCCACTCACTCACTCACTCACTCACTCAGTATCTTCAGTAACTGGAATCATCCGAAGAAACACTAGAGATAGAACGAAGACATGACAGCATATTTGGTTTGGCACAGGACATTGGTCAAACGTATGCGAGACGGCGGTGTTGAATGGTGTTGATGTCCCAGCATTGCTCAGTGGTTGGCATTTGTTGACTCCTGCTGGAGTCCCATGCTGGACCCATGTTCAGGTAAAGGCAGTGTTAAGGGGATTTGGACTAGAGAAAGCACACTCACTCACTCACTCAAGGGACACATAAGTCTGAACAAAACAATCGGATGCTGCATGAGTCTGAAAATAGGAGCGACTGAAGTGAAATGCAGTCAACATGTTCAAAAGTTAACCACAACCCTGACAACCCTGCAAAGTAATCCAACGCGAAGCAGTAGCATCAATATATTAAAGTTAACGTTAACGATTAACTAAGCTTTGCAAGATCAAGGCTTGTAGGAGGTTGGTAAAAAGTGCAAATCATGGAGATACACATGGGGGGGAATAGAACAGCAATCCCAACAGTTTGAAAGGGATGAACTTCAAAGCTACCGTGTCCAGGCCTCCTTGGTGAACCACCCTGGCCGCGTGTGCCACGTGACAAGCAGCTAGCGTTTCGCCCCAACCGCTTCCACTGTAATGCTGACCTCTGAATAATCACCCCCCCTTAGCAAAGTTCCCGCCCTGATGAATAAAGCCCCCTGTTACTAATCAAAGGTCAAGAGGTCTTTTTGTATGGGAGTGAGTGGAAACATGTGCGCAAGCTGTTGAACGTGCCTCTTCCGAAATTGCCAAAAAAAACAGTTAGCTATTAGGAACAAGTGCATCGCTACTAGTAACAAGTGCCTTACTAGTAGTAACAAGAAGCTATTAGTAATTACGTAAGTTTTGATTCATGTTGATTGCCCGGTTACACTCGATTCTGCATCCGTTCCAAGCCGACGTCTGCATCGACGTTTCATGCGTCTGATGGACTCTGAAGGTGACTCCGGCCACCGGGAACAGAACGTTTTAATATATATTGAACAATACAAACCATGCACCAAATCCATACTAAAACAAACATCAACCAATCACACGGTGGAGACACAAACAAACCGTTCAAGAACACACTGCTAACAGGTGACCTCTGGTGACATGAGTTCTCAACAGCCAACACGACTGCTCTTCCGGACAGCTCCGGTATTCCGGTCCTTCCAGGCATCGCTGATTCAGCTCACGCAGCTCAGGCTGCTCGGGGCCTTTCCGCAAGGTTTCCAGGACCTGGAGCTGAGCTTCTCGGCGACCGCAGATAGCGAGGGGAGGTGACCGGGACCGACCCGTCACGAATACCACACGCCGTGAAACAAGGGTGACGCACGGAACACGTGGAACGCTGACGGCACGGCATGGGCACACAGGAAAATCCTCATGATGGTCACCTGGGGTGCCTCTGGGATGATCTATAGGGTTCTTCAACCTCTGTCGGGAGGCGGAGAAAACAGCGTTTCAGCCGGCGAAGCCAACGAGCGAATGGGATGACAGGCGGATGGTGACCTCAAAATCTATGAGGAAGTACAAAGAAACCTGAGGGCCTTGGCCTGAGGGAAAGGATTGTATACTTAGCTTAAAACTACTGTAATGACCCACGCCCCTGTGCTGCCCATCCAACAATCATGCCCCTCCGGTCCGCACGCGCCTCGTACCAGCCCTTGTCGCGGATCTCAGCGCGATGGCGATTTCGCTGGTCGGATTGTGCATTGAGGAGGTGGGGCTCGGGCCTGAAAGGATAAAAGGAACGTACTGGTTCTTGGCTGAAGGACAAAAACTTGAATCAATCCAGAACCTTTAGAGTTGATGGTGATGGGACAAGAGTGATTTAAGTTTTAGGTGCTGCTTCATTCAGCATGCAATCCGGAATTGAAACAAGGCAAGCCACTTACCTAAGCCTTAGTCAGGCTCCTTTTCTTTTCCAATCATGGAATCCCATTTCTTGGCCATGTAAGGTCTTGCAACTTGGGGTTGTCAGAGTGCCGAACTGGTAGAGATGGCCTGCGAAATTGCAAGGAGAGCTAAGATTCACTTGACAGAGATTCGGTTCATCACGGGCCTTCTTGCCACTAAAAAAGGGACATCATCCCGCAAGGGGACCTAAGGATCGACAGTTACTGGTTCCCCCAATCTAGAGACCCCTTAGGTCGATGCACCATTGTTTTTCGCGTCCCATGTCCTCCCGACCCGCTTGACTGTTGCTCAGGCGACCAAAATTGTGCGACTTCCCCACCAGCTTGTTGTCCAAGCGACTGGCCACACTGGATTCAATGGAAAGCAGTAGCCCTCCCGTGCACGCTCCTGGCACAGGAGCATCATTTTTCTTGCCGTTCAGCTCCACCAGTGTGGCAAAATGGCGACTCTGCAGCTCAACAGCCTCCAGAAACATGCCTCCAGATCTGAAGGCCAGTGATCACTCGATCTTTTCCAGGCCCCAAACTCTGACCCTGAATGGCGCCAGTTGACGTTTAAAACCATTAAAAACCATCTTAAAACATTCTTTCTGCGCCTTGAGGAACTTCCGCAGCTCCGGCTCTTTGAGTTGCCTCCAAGGCGGATCCTCGGCCCACCGGTGCGCCCGACCGCTGGAGATCCAGCGAACCGCTGTGGGAGACGGCGCAGGCCCACTTTCACTCAACTATCAGCGCATACACCATCATATACCTAGAACCTCGTTAGGCCCAAGAAAAGGTTATGAGTTATAGGTATGTCCGCAATTTGTAAGCAAACCTTCATAAAGACGGAGGCCGCTTTGACTCTGGCCAACTTCTTCTTGCTTCCCTTTCGTTGCCATCGACGTTTCAGCAACACGGCGCGGTCTCAGGCTTCTACCACGAAGCCGTCCCAAACAACCATAAAGTCATCGTCCAATTCCTGTGGCAGGATCTACGACCAGGGCAGTACATTGCAACATATTGCAACAAGAGCGTCAAGTACCAGGGCTGTTTTGGGACCCTAAATGACCCTAAGAGGTGTGGTTTGTGGCCACCGCAGGCAGCCCCTCCGTCATGGTCACCTTGGTTGCCGGGCCAAGATACAGCTTCAAGGGTCGGCTCCATTCCGGGCTCTCCATGGCAGGGGTCGGACCTGACCCCTTGGCAGGGGTCCGGGCCCGAACCAAACTATGTGTTGGTTCGGGCCCGGAGTCTTTAGGGTATATAATGTAGCCACGCTAGATCATCCCATCTGCCTTCAGGCTTTCAAAAAGGGTTAGCCCACCCCTGACCACCGGTGGATCAACATGCAATCCTGACATTGCTCAGCCTTTCTGCTGCATCTGCATCTAATTGTTGGAGTGAGAATATAGCTATATGTTGACCCTTGAGGCCTCTCTAATGTGCCAAAACCCCCAAAGTTGGACTTGAGAGGCCGCAAACCACCCCACCGCACACTCCGAAACCCACTAAAAACAACCGCACAGCCCGGCACGGACAAACTTCAGGGTGTTCATTCACCAGCCCCTGCCTGTGGAAAATAGAAGTTGAAGCATTCCGCTCCATGTCGGATGGCCCCGCAGGAGGAGGTCACCTGAACCACCTGTGACGCTGAAAGGGGGCCGATGTGCTGAGACGTTGGTGCTCAAATTCCGAGAAACCGGGCTCGTAATGGTACCCATGCGGCAATGGTGCCAGGCTGCCATGGAGTCTGAAATCCGAATAAGTGGCCAAATGGCTATTTATATTGCTAAACTTGAGATCTATACAAGCTGGGCTGTATCAGCAGCAAAGATTGCGCTTAGTGCATATCATATTTGCAAGCTTGAATGCACTTGATTCATAGCGCCCCGCCCTGCAAGATTCGATGTCAGGATGTCCAAAGCACACATCCATCGATCCGGTGATCTAAATACACCCCTCCTCAATGCCTAGGGCCTTTCAAGCCATCCATGTGGAACAAAGGGCCTTTTTATGGTCCTTGCCCAAAAGAAACAGCTGGTGAAGAAGAAGTCAAAACCACAAGCACAAGAAACGAATGCATTTAATGTTCGTCCATGTCCATTAAATTGTTCAAGACCTATTGGAGGCTCCAGCAGGTTCTGCTGCTTTCCCCTGAGTCTCCGGCTTTGAGGAGGTCTCCCCAAGGGTTGGTATTAATAGGGGTGATAAAGGACCATCAAGGGCTAAATATCAACCTCTTAGTGTGGGCGATCACCCTATTCCACTCCACACCCATCTATAGATGATGTTCTTCTGCAATCTTAAAGCCTTGTGCCAATACACACCTCAACACGCATTCAAGAGATGCCTGGATGCTGAAGTGTCAAAACCAGCTATCGATTTCTTGACCGGAACACCTTCCAGACGTGTACCAAACTCCTCTCCCAAAAAGAATCGCCACACCTCCTCCTCCCTCTCCCTCTCACGACAGAAAGCCGACGCTCCAACGACGGTGACCACACCGGACCTCTCCGATGAGCCTCACCGAGGTGGGATCGCCGAAGCCCAACTTGGGGATCTCCACCGTCTTCCCTAGCGCTTCGAGCGCGACCGCGCGGCCGGGCCGAGGGCGGGGATCGCCGGGACCGAAGGTGGGAAGAGGAGACGACGGAAACCACCATATGAGCCTCACCGGGATGAGGCTCAAGGAGGTGGTGGGAAAATCACCGGGTTGCGTTAGGTGAAGCAAATGATCATTGGCCCAGACTCTCCATGGGACTGGAATAGCGGGTCACACATTAAGACAATTATGGTAAATGATGGTAAATGTATGTATTTAGTCCTGCTACATGGAGTGTCTGGGATAGGTTCAAGCAAGGAAGGAATTTCATTGGGCATGAACTAATCTACTTGCTATGCACAAACGAAGATCCGGTATATAATTAGGGGGCTTTGGAGGGTGTAGAGAGGATCTGCCCTCAGAATCCGGGCCCTCAATTGGAAAGTCTTTTGCGTCTCCAAAATGGTGCAACAAATTCATTTTTTGCGGGGGCATGTCGTACCGATCAAGACCTCCAGCGCTGGTGCGCCGGGTTCACCGTCAAGCTCCGCCTTTGGTGCTGGCTTCCTCCTTCAAAACCTGGATGGGGCCGAATGTGAGAGGAGAAACATCCACCAGTCTCTGGCAACCAAGTCTGATCCGACAAAAGCGTTGCGCTGAACCAGCCATCCAAGAATCTGACAGACACATGCAGTTTCACGCTCTGTCTACTGGAGTGAAACGCTCTTCACTTTAATCAACCTCCGGAAACACAATAATACGCCCAGCAGACAGCGTTCCGCGTGATGAAGACGCGCGGATAGAAACGCGCGGATACCGCCTCAAGCCAGCGAGCTGTCCAGGCTTTTCGTTGAGGCATTCCGATGATGTCCGCCGTGTGGTCTAAGCACCACTGCATCAGCTCCTTGTGATGAACTCTCTCTCCCTCTCCCGCTCCCGCTCCAATGTTGATGTTTTACACTTATACTCTTTGACAAAACAACACATAAAATGATGTCCAAACATGGTAGGTAAAATGATGTAAATTGTAGCTGGTGGCTTTACAAAATGTCCTAATTTCATTTGATGTCCCAAGTTCCGGGCTACTGGGCAGTGACTTCCTTTCTTACCAGGTACAAGTGGGATTGCTAGGCAAGTGATGGAAACAAACAGAACGCATCTGCAAAAATAATAGCAAAACCATGCAAAACCACATGGCATAGAACGCAACACTCCTAAGATGCTTAACGGGAGGAATGTTCAGGATTTGGCCTTCCTCCCAAACACACCGTCCGAACTCGGGGCATTTCAGGGTGCAACCCGTGAGTCTCATCCACCGCTCCTTCTGCTCCGGAGGAAGCGGAGAGTATTCCATCCCGTGGCTGCCCACCAGGAAGGTGTCAAAGTCGCTGACCACCTTCGTGGTCCGTGCGCGGACAGGCCCATGTTTCTTCGAAGATGTTTGGTGCTATCCCGGTCATTGCCCCAAGTCGTATAGTTTCCTTCACTTTTAAGTTTTCTATTGTTTCGAGTGATCCTCACCCTCGGCATCTGGTTCAAAAGGGGTGGTCAGGTGGTAGTCCTTTCGGGAAATCCAGCTTCCGGAGGTTGAATGCGTTTGTTCCTCCACCTTTTCCTTAGCGCCAGCCATGTGACAAGGGTGCAACATGGTGCAACCTATCTTGGGTTAGAATCAATCATTGGTTTGCAATGTGTTGAACAATTTCCCGCCATGTGCACTTTAGGAAGGTTCTCAACACTGTTGCAGCGCGGCCACTGCAAGAAATTCAGCTGCTGACTCACGACCAACTACAATGAAAACAAGATAATACATTACAATATAAATACACTTCTTCGCAAGAGGTGAAGATTGGCACTTTTTAGTTGCATCTTGCACTGCTCAGTTGTGACACCCTCTGGCTGCGCAACGCAATCTGGCCATGTGCCTACGATATGCGCATGTCATTCTATCTGGCATATTCTGTGGGTTTCATCTGGTATATCTTCTGACATCCTTACCGGCATTCTATCTGACATATTTCCCAGCTTTCTATCTGGCATATCTTCTGACATCCTTTCCTTTCTCGCATTCTATCTGGCATATCTTCCGGGATTCTATCTGGCATATCTTCTGAAATCCTTTCTGGCATATCTTCTGGCATTCTCACTGGCGCCCTCTGTGATGTGCAGGTAGCTGGCGCTCTCTATGGTGTGCAGGTCCGTGCGTGCCCAGACTGCCCTCGCTCCCTCGATGCTGTGCAGGCCCATGCGCGCCCAGACTCACCTGGCGCATAGCGCTTATTGTTAAACCTATATAAAGACCGTCACCTCGCAGTGCCTCGCAGGTGGGGAAATATGAACACATTGTCGCTTGAGATTGGTCCGGTCATGTTCAATCTATGATCATTCATGATCACCAGCAATCATCAAACAAATGGACCCAAGCATGTACTTGCTGATCTGTAAGGTTTCAGGGTAGAGTCGCGTTGGTCAGACCAAGGTCATCAATGGCGAAGCGTTGCGGAGCACCGTCGGCACGGAGCAGTCATCGGGGCCAGCATGGACGTCTGCGGAGCACAGTCGAAGGGTACGACCGGTAGCGGAGGGTAGCGGAGGGTGCGACAGTCGGCACGGATCCCACATGAACGTATGGGAAGCCGATTCGGCCCCAAGCAGGCAGCAAAGAAGAGCTGCACTCCAAGGGGAAGCAGCATTTCAGGGGGAAGTCAATGGCCAGCTTCTTGAACAAGAGCATGCCCACCGAAGCGAAGCAGTAGGATGAAGTGGCCAAAATGATCCATGTCTCAGCTTGGTCCATCACAAGGGTCGGGGTGTTTCGCTAGTCAAGTACGAGAAAGGCGGACGAAGTCGTCGAAGAGCTTGGCTGACAAAAACAATGGCGGATCCGAAGGACATGATTCAAGCACCTTCAAGTTAACATTCCTTTACCTCCACTACACGTTGTGGCCTTTTTTTGGTGGTCGAGGCAGCCTGGTCCACAAAAGCAACACCTGAACCATTTGTTGGCATTGGCTTTGGCGAAGAATGTTGAAACCCCCTCTCTCCATAGAAAATCCATCATTTTCCCCTCTTCCTGGCGACTTGACCACACCACCCGCCCGAGGTTTCGGGTGCAGCTGGGGCCCCCGGACGGGCAACACATGCGCTTCGGCATAGGCCACCAGCAGGCCCAAGGGGTTCATGGGATCTGCTAAGTCGTACTGATACAGAACCACCTCCTGAGGCGAGTCGCCACGGCGGGACCTCGCGGACGGTCGCGAACCAAACCTCGCGGACTCGCGGACCCACGCTTCGGACACGAGGACGGGACATGGAGGGGAGCAGGGAAAGTCCGGAGGTGCTCAAGATACACATGTTTCACCAACTGTTTCACCGAGTTTCTACAATCTTCATCCATCCGCTGCGCTGCTTTGCGCAGTACTCAATCTCGAATCATCTGGTGGGGTCGCATGATGGTTTACATGGCTCTACCACAATGGACCCCCAAACGCAATAGACTCCATGGCTGGTTTTGGAGTCTTGCAGCTTGACCCCAGCAGTCATGCAGTCCGGGCGGAAGGAATATGATCAGCGGCGGTGAACTCGGAAGCCAACACACCAGGTGCTTGAAGCTTCAATCAACTTGGAAGACAATGAGTGAGAAAATGAAACACCCGTGTGCTATGAGGTTGCCTTTTGGGAGGAATAAATAGCCAATAACAGTGTCTGGCTTCTTCTTTACTCACTCAAGTGTTCTGCACCGCTCATGGCGGCCACTCTCCCAAGTTGCCGCAGAAAAGCCGAGCTTCGGGTGTCGAGTTGCCCCTGGTGGAGTGGAGGTTCATGTCCTGCGCGAGTGTTTCATATGTTTCATGAACTCTGCAGAAGGTGCATAGCTTAGTATGATCCATCTTATCGTCTGCTACAGCCAAGGATGGGAAAGCATGGACGGTTGGACCGTCGTTCACTTCATAGTCTCAACATTGTTCCGGGCCCTTGCTCCAGCAGAGTCAGCATCCGCGGATGCCTCGAAGTAAATAGATGCATGAAATGATATAGGATATATAGGCTGGAGGTCTTGCTGGAGGCCTCCCTCACTCGTGCTGACCTGCTTGGCCAGTGCCGTGCAAGGACAAATCAAAGACAATGATTAAACCTGCAAGAAGGACGTCTGCGGACCAGTCTGGAAAACCGGACGAGTCCGCGGGGGGCGATGGCCGCCATACGGGCCCTTGCAGGCAATGGGACTGCATAGCCAGGTGCCATCTCGCCAGTCACAGTCCACACTCCGGACTGGAAGATATGCCGCCCCATTGACGTGGCACCATCTGAATTGATCGGCATATATGGCAGTCCCAATTGTCGTGTCAGGGAGTGGATGCTGATGATGCCAGGTCGGCATCTCCAAGCCTTCTACATTAACCCCTCAAACCACCCCAACTGATCGGCATATATGGCAGTCCCATTAGTCGTGTCTGGGTACGGGTTCTAGCCTACCAGTCCGTCTCACTCGGCGATATGCTCGAGGGGAGGGGAAGGTTCACTCACCCATCCCGTCCATGAAGGCAGGCTCCGACTGGCGTCCAGTCTCCCAGCCTCGGTCACCAAGAGCGGCAGCACATGACATGCCGAAGGGGTGGTGAATGTAGGTCGACGGTGGATCGTCTGGGAATGGTACAAAGAATGTCATACCCGTCATACCCCTTTTTGATTCGAATCTAATAGGTATTCTAATTAGGGCTCCAAATAGGTACCTGTTCAGGACGTCTTAGATGGATGAGGGTGGATTGGAAGGGCCCATTTCTGGGGCACCTGGTGCCGCACCGGGACCGGACGTTCCGGGATCACCCGGTGTCTCTCCCCCATCAAGAGGAACCACAAAGGAGCGGCATAGGCAGTCTCATTCATGACATCAACTAAAGAACACATCCTAACACTACGAGAAACAAATTCATTATTGGACAAAAGAACTGCACAACAGTCAAGCAATCTTCCGTTTTCAACAAGCAATCAGCCCAAAATTCCATGATATTCCATGTATCTCCGGGTTATCTCCGGATCTCTTTCTTTGTTCTATTGCTCTATCCTGTTTCCATTTGCTCTATCTTCTCGACCTTTGGTCCGACTCCTGCCACCTGAGCGGTCAGCCCACCATGGGCGACAGCTCGGGTCTCATGATGTAAGCCTGGCGCAGCTCGTGTCGGTGTCCAGACCATGAGAAGAGTGGCGCCATTCTATGGGTCGTACATGGGGTAAATGTATCCATCATTGCATCCATCCATCCCGCTCGTTCCCCATTCCAAATTCAGGGAAACATGTGGTGGAAAGGACTTTCTGATCTTTCTGATGAGGTCTTGGGTCCACACCATGATAGGGTGCTCAGTCTCTACAACCGGATTTGTGTCACCCAGCTAAGCCCATGCATCTGGTTCCGCGCTCTCTCGCCGGGATGGCCTCCTTCATGAGAGGCTCTGGCACCTCGCTAGCCGACGATCCGACCGACGTCACTTCCAACGTAAACATGTAAATACAGGACCATTGACCCGAAGCTAAACCACCAGAAAGGAACTTGCTCGCCCTGTCAGGGATGAGGCATGAGCAGGCTACATTGATTTTGCACTTTCTCAATGAAAGTCATTGAACCAGGTCGCGAGTCCAGTGGCCTAAGGGCGGTTTCTCGTACTTTCTCCGACAAAATCAAAAAATGGTTGACCACGTAGTCCCACTGCTCATCCAACCGTTTGAGCGGGAAGACTTGGAGAATCTTGGAGAATCATTCATCCGCGCAAACCAGTTTGAGAACTAAATAGGCACAAAGGAATCCTCTCAATCCTCTCTGTCAACTAGAAATTTGGTTGGTGTTAAACTTAAACCGTGGAACTTCACCACGGATCCAAAAGAGGGCCGACAAAAACGAGCGGCCTAGCCTCGCTGCATTGGTGTTCGATTGGTTCTCCCACCGGTGCCGAGCATGTGCTGCCAGGCTGCATCCAAACCCCAGCTTTGTGGCTCCTTGGCTTTGGATGTTTTGGGAAGAAGCTCAAGCGAAGCTTGGGATGAAGGCCGCCTTCGTGACTCTTTGGTGGACGGATGTGGATGGTGATCTTTTCAGCCTCTGGCACCAGGAGGAGGACAACAAGGTGCACTCGAAAAAGGAGAACTGCGTTTAAAAAAGAATCTCGATCTCTGATGGGCTGCTCTTGGAGCTGCCCGGGCATTAGTTCCTATCTGCAAGGCTGGCGCCTTGCAATAATTATAGGGTTATTTTTTGAGCTTTGGCTTTCGCCTTGGCTGCGGCTGAAGCTTTACCGGCTCTCCGCCTAAAGAAAAGGCGTCAATTTCCATGCCCAGTTCCTCCTGAAACATGGCGAGGGCAGCAAAACACTCCTTCACAGGGCCTTGTAGGCTGACATGTTCATCTTTCTCGATGCTCTGGGCTGGAATGAAGCCAAGCTGGGATGGACTATAGCCATGGGATGGACGTATGGCCCAGCGGCACTCCAACCAGTGGCCCATGATCTCCACCTGCGTTCCATCATCCAAGAATCCAATCTGATTGTTTCTTTCTGATCGGATCGCTTTCTTCAGAACTGTGACACTGCCATGGCCACTGGCATCCAATACGGTAACCTTCTGGCCGACTGACAAATGCTTGTCCTTCACGTGCTGGGCGTTGATGACACCTTTTCCATGAAAGTCACTCTTCTTTAAGCCTCGGCAATGGCAACAAACCCACTCGTCTTCAACTTTGACAACATGCTTGGCAGGGAGGTGGGCTGCCAAGTTCTTCTCTGCATCTTCCTTCACGCCAACGCCGATCACCTTGAGCGCAGTCGCTCCATCGCTGCCCACGCAAGCCTTCGGAATCTGGAGCTCCACGGTGGGACAGGCTTTCTTCAAGCTCAACAAGCGGCAATGGAACCTCTGTGGCACAACAAGTTTGAGACTTTTCATGCCATGTCGATCATCCTCCACCTCCTGCAGTTGATGCTCCACCTCGTGCAGTTGATGCTCTTGCTCCTTGAGTCGATTCTCCAGCTCCTTCGTGCCCAACGACAAGATCTCTGACATACCGCGGCCCAGCTGCTTTGGTGGCAAGTCCAAGCCCTTGAGTAGCTTCTTGCCAATCCAATGAGGAGCTTTGTCAAAAATTTCCAGGCCGCCCTTGTCCAGCATATTGTGAAGCCAACCGATCATGGTAAAGCAAGCATTCCCGGCATGAACCACCTGCGAGCTGCCACAGAACTCCCCGCTGGGCTGCAGCTGCTCCCGCAACCGGTCAATCCGCATGAGCTTTCGACGAGCTTCGCTCGGGCGGAGGTGCAGGAACTCCAGGACCAAACCAACCGCTTCTGGGCACCGCTGAATGCTCACCCCACGGTGCTGCAATGCTCTGACAATGTCATAGCCGGCACTGAGCACGCTCCTCGCTGGCCGCAAAGGTCCAAAAGCAGGATCCAACACGAAGAGCGCCACGAAGTCTCTCGAGGCTTCTACAGTGCCCTGGTTCACCATCCGTAAAACTCGGTGAGCCAACTGGCAGTTGGAAAAAACCAACAGGGTCCCTTCCCGGATTGGCACCTTGCAATTGGCCAGCTTCGTAACACATTCGCACGAAGGTGCCTTTTCCCCCCGTAGGCCTGCTCTCAAGGAGCCCCGGTGGAACTCTGTGAAGTTGCCACCATCGCCAATGCCCAGCTCAGCTATTGGCTCGCGGCCACAGAACTCCATGTCACCACCGACCAGCTGTGGGTCCACGTGGTAGTAATACAAGACCACGGCCGCCACATGCTCCCAGTGCCCGTCCACATGCCAAAGGCCGATGTACTCTGAGTTGGAGCCATCGGCACGTCGCCCGGGGACGGTGATGCGCTGGGCCTGAAGGGGAATGTTTAGTAAAGACAATTATAAGGTAACAAACAATCAAATGATCAAACAAGGATGCACTATATAATATAATATAAATATATAGTTGTAGAAGAAACGCAGTCCCAACAATATCAATCGTAGAATAAAAATAACCTTGCAATTTATACCAGCACCACGGAAAAGCGGTATATATTGGTATATTATGTATTACGTTTTGTAGCAAAGGGGCTTGCTGTGAGTTGCAGAATTCGGGGTTGTAAGCTTAAGCTGGATTAACCCACGAGCGAACAGTCAATCAGAAGTGCAGCAGCCCAAGAACCACCAAACATTGTTCAATGATGAATGCGTCAACCTGAACACTATCTATTTTAATACATGTTTTTCAATGCCTGATGGGCCTTGTCACGCCTTGGTAAGACAAACAATTCTTTAAATATAAGAAAATTGGTCAAGTTCTTTTTGTCAGATACTGTTGGAGTATAGGATTTAATGTTATTTGCAATCCTTAATCTTAAAGTGTCCGTGATTATAATCTCCTTCAAAATCACATTGTCCTGCATCACCCTCAAAAGCATTCCACCTGAGTATTGTGTTGCCTCATGTTTCCTCCCTTTTCTTCTCATTCCTCTATGTATTCATCAGTCATTCCCAGTAATTGCTCAGTATCCAAAAAAACACAACTCACCTTGTTTACCCTGCCTCCCATCAGATTTAAAAGATACTTCTCTGCCTCACTCAAGTTGTCAACATCAGGAGCATTGCCATCGAACATGTCGCAGAAATTGATGGTTTCAGGTTGGTTGGGTTTTGTTTTGATACTTTGCCTGATTAGGTACGTCCAAAGCATTGCCATCAAATATGTCGCAAATATGGTTGGTTTGGGGTTTGATGTGAGTGGCTAAATCCATCAACCAAAGAGATTACCATACGTACCATATCATTCAACAGAAGCATGATTTTGCGCCACTCACAACAGGCCTTTCTGTATTCAACTAGGGTAGTTTAGGGTTTCTAACATTTAAACACCACTCCACTGATTATATATATATCAGAAACTATGCGGCACTTGCCCCCCCCTGGGCAACACAACCCGCTCCTTGAAGACGACTTGCAGCCGCCGGTCTTCTAAGAGCAGCTGCGGCCGGCGGAGCTTGGCTAAGAGGGGCAAGGCAGCTTCCAGCACTGGCTGAGCCACCTCCTTAGCCAGCTGCGGCTCGAGGTGGCTGCGTTCGCCCCCGACCAGGCGACAGGAGCCTTCCTTGGTGATGTCAAACTCACTGGGCACCCAAAGCTGCTGGTGCACGAAGAGGTTGGGATCCACTATCATCTGATATCTAGGGATGGGCCGATCATTCGTTTTGCTCGCATGTGCATCCAGCTTCCCCTTCACCGGCAGCGCCAGCTGGCAGCTCCACACATCACAACTGGGCGCCGCGCGCCGCGGGGGTGACGCGCCAGCAGGCATCGGCCAGCGGGGCGCCAAGGGGAAGAAGCCCCAAGGCTCTACGGCTGGATCATCAATGGCGTAAAGATCTTCAACAAGTACCTCCTTGCTGGTGTAGATCAGCCTCCATCGTCCTCTGTCCTCCAATGCTTGGATCATCTCGCCCTCCGGCAGCCTGTGCACGTTCATCCTCAAGCGGTCGTGGGCGTGCTCATCGTAGTCCTCGGTCCGGCGGCACAGCACTGGCCGATCCACTGGACTTCGCAAGGTCAATGCATCCACTTCCACGATCTCCACCCCACCCTGCAGCTCCACACCCGCGCACAGCAGCGTGAGCCGTTCTGGCGCCACCCCCAGCAATGGGCCAGTGTGGTTCGGAGCTCCGAGACGCTGCTAGGCAGGTTGAAGGGCAAGAGGAAGACCTGGTCACCAGCCAGGCTGGTGCCCAGCAGGCCTTCCTCCGTCTGACTCAATGTGGTCACCTGATACGCCTCTGATTCATTCGGTATTTCAACATAGCGGTACCCGTCGTGCTCCTCATGAACCGTAAAGCGTGGCACCCGCTCCGCCAGCGCAGCTGCATAGCTCTGCAGGAAGCATGCCATGCGGGCAGTGCGGCAGTTGTCTTACAGGTGGGTATACGGTATGTGAACTCCCCTTGCCAAACCCTTTTGGGGACCTGGGCCATCCACTTATGAACACCTCTTTGGCTTCATCTAGAAAGTGAATCCCATCTGAAGTGAAACTCTTCCCACTGGCAAGTGGGACTCAGACTATGAGTTTTAAAGACATGACTCATGACCATTCAGAAATGGAGTTCTAGTTGCTGGGTAGAGTTCTGGTTCACATGGCTCTTCGCCTCTGAGGCCCGTCGTCTTCGCTTCTGAGGCCCACCGTGGAGGTCCGATACGGCCGACGAAAGGCCAGTGGATTCGCGCCGGTCTTCGAGTAGCTGAACATGCAGCACGGATGTCCGGGGGTGATGGGAGAGAACATGCAGGACAGTCAAAGGTCTATAAACCAACCAGCACCACGGAAAGTGGGGCCTTAGTGGATTAGACTCAAACACCAATGACATCCAATGACTATTTGAACCACGCCAATTGTGAGGACTATAAATATCTATAAATTTCTGTAATAAGGACTGGATCTACTGAAAGTCAGGCCACTCCCACGGTCTTTTGCCACGGTCGCAGCGCCCGAACGGCACTGGAACCGCGTGCCAAGGGGCGTAATCCGAGATGACCTTGACACTTGGATCGTCGATCTTCAAGGATGCCTGGCCATGTCCAGGAATAGAGGAGACTGCCTTCTCCACGAGCCCCAAGGTAGATGGATTTCTCCGTTCTCCCACTCAGCAATCCCTCTAGATCCCAAGCATCAAACCAAAAGAGATGTCACACCAAGCTCAGGTCTATGATGGGAGTGCTACTAGGTTGGAGGCCATCGCTATTAGGTTGGAGGCCATTGCTAGTAGGTTGGAGGTTAGGAGACGCTCCCGACCTACCAACAAGAACCTCGGTCTCTTCCAGGATCTCCAAGCCTCCAAGCCCTAAACATCTCACACACCGCGATTCCAAAACGCCAGTAGTTCATCGACATCATCACATCCCGGACAGGTCAGTTTGACCCCCCATTTTGCTGAAAAAACACTGCTCAATGGGGTTGTCAGGACCAGGCTTTACCGGGTCTCTTCACCTCTCCCGCCTCATGTTCCAAAAACCCAACGGTCCCGCACTCCGTGCGAGCGGATCGCCTCGATCCGGCGGCCTCGACCCGGGAGAACGGTCCCCGCCTCTTTGAGGACCTTGTCCAAGGACTTCTCGGCTTGCTCGCGCGCCAGCTTGTTCCTCACGGAATCCGACGGATCGAACGGTCGAACGATGCGAACATGGGACAGATCGGGGAAACCACCGATCTCAGATCGTTCGCTTCACACACCACATCTATACCACACGTGACGTGACCGGGCTGCGAGGTGAAAACACAGGTGCTGAGACTCCGTGCTGAGACTGTTGGCATGCAGCTCACCTTTCAAAATCGGTACTTTCCGCACTCCGATCCTGTTGCTCCGAATGCTCTCCAGGAGGAATACGGAGGAATGTTCAAACGCAAATTCAAGCGGGCGCCACCCTGTGGGGCGCAACAAAGCAAAGCTAGTTGGAGGGGAGGTGTCATTTTCTGGGGCGAGGAATTGGTGCCAAATGGAAGGCCAAAACGCCTTAGAAAATGACATTCGGGGGTCAAATCAAGGCTTGGAATCAACTATTGAAAGGAAACTCATCTTCCAAAGGCAGAAATGACTTGGAGAGGTTTCGAGGAGACGGTGATATAGAAGTCAACTTGAATGACTTGACGGGAGATCCACAAGTAGTGTCTGTAGGGTTGTCTATTATTGGTGACCCCTTGGAATGTGCCGGCAGTTTCTGATCATTCTGGTATATTCTGGTCCCTGTCCCTGGGTTGTACAGGGCTGCGCGACAACACGCGCGCTGTGTCACGCGCGGGGCTCCGGAAGAAGATTTTGGTGCGGGCATCACGAGGAGCGTCCTGTCGGAGGTGACGTTTTTGGTTCTCACGCCTTCACTCACCTCATGAAAAAAAGGGAATCACATGGAATCTCCTGGCGAGTTCAACAAGAACTTGTCTAGTGAGTCGTCTTTTCAGTTTTGAGTTGTCTTTGCCTGTTAATTCTTTGGCGCACTTGTCACCCTTTTTTCATCCAAAAGTGGGGTGTGTGTGTCCACCTCTGTAACTAAGAGTTTCTGTTTTCTCAACTTTTAAGTCGCAGGGGGCGTGACGGCCGATTTCCTAGTCACGCCAACGAAGCTAGGGAAATCGACTGGATGGAAGTTTGGACACAAACTTTTGTACCTGCGCGGATGAAAACTTTGTTGTTTCCATGGCGGTTGTTCGCATGATATCCCCCAAAACAGGTTTCCTTAGCTTTGGTAAAGTGCTAGTGCGTTTGTTAAACGGTTCTGTTCTTCGGACCCTTGCACCTTACCGTTCTTGCAGCAAAGGGCTTGCAGTAACTAGATTCCGCAGTCAAGTGAACAACTCCTTTGTTAAAACACCTTCAAGTGCTCCGACTCTTTCACCTTTCGGTTCCATCGCCATTTTTCCTTGGGAATTGAGTTAACTGCAAACCAATGTCAGAGTGTGACTCGCTCAGTCGTCCCACTTGGGTGCTGGGTGTGGTCCTCCGCAAGGAGGCGCTGTTTTCATTCCGGAAATCGTGTAACTGACTCCACCGTTCTCCACCTCTCTTTGGATTTTCTTGACCGCTTTAGTTTCACTACTGGATTTACTGAATTTGATGCCGTCGGGCTTACTAAATACCCCCACTTGCATCTCCACTTGCATTTCCATGTGCTGCATTTCCATGTGAGGAATTGAGGCCAGTGAAGCTACTGTCCACACTTGCACTTCCACACCCCCCCCCACCTTGCAACCTAATTCGTGTTTCTATCCCACCCGCTATCTAGGGTAACAGAAGGAAATGGTACTCGACACACTTGTGTGTCAGTACCTTTCCTTCTGTTTCTCCTTTTCTACTCCTAGCTACCCGGCGGTTTAAGACGTATGTCCCGCTCGCTAACTACTGCATTTAATTCATTCGGCTAAGTAGTCAGCAACTAGCAGGTTTCGTAACTAGTGGGCCTTGTCACTACACCTATCTTTCTCTCTTTCCTTTGCGTTTTCCTCTCTGTCTTTCTTTCCTTTCGTTCTAAGGCTATTTGTAGGTGATTAGTAAGTTCCCCCAGAGCGCCGATATCGGCGTTCTGTGTGTGTCCACCTCTGTAACTAAGAGTTTCTGTTTTTCTCAACTTTTAAGTCGCAGGGGGCGTGACGGCCGATTTCCTAGTCACGCCAACGAAGCTAGGGAAATCGACTGGATGGAAGTTTGGACGCAAACTTTTGTACCTGCGCGGGTGAAAACTTTGTTGTTTCCATGGCGGTTGTTCGCATGATATCCCCCAAAACAGGTTTCCTTAGCTTTGGTAAAGTGCTAGTGCGTTTGTTAAACAGTTCTGTTCTTCGGACCCTTGCACCTTACCGTTCTTGCAGTAAAGGGCTAATGCAGTAGCTAGATTCCGCAGTCAAGTGAACAACTCCTTTGTTAAAACACCTTCAAGTGCTCCGACTCTTTCACCTTTCGGTTCCATCGCCATTTTTCCTTGGGAATTGAGTTAACTGCAAACCTATGTCAGAGTGTCTCTCTCTCTCTCTCTGTATTTCGCGCTGTGTTCACAGGTCTCTTTGTTCTCAGGTACCAGGGGCCCGAACCAAACGATGAAAAATACAGGTTTTCACATACAAAAACAATGTTTTTTGCTAGGGAAAACCAGGTTTTCGATGGCTTGGTTCGGGCCCCTGGTAGGCAATGGTGTTTTTCGGTTGCCCTTTTGAGCCCCAAAACACCGCGCTCGTGGCCCTGTTGTGCGCGAGATCGAGGGAGGGTCCGTTTTTTTCATCGCACCAAATGGATATACTCACCCTAGAAGTCGAACCACCATTGTTTTAATAGCCTGAATCCCGAACCACCATTGTTTCACTAAGGGTTCTACACTATTAATTCAGATCAACCATGTTTAAATAGTCTTTGACTTCCAGGGCTTACATATACTTACCTGACTCATGATCAACCAGTTCCAAAGACTAAAACCATAGAAGTTCCGGTTCCTTATGTAATATAGTAGTGGTCTCTGTGACCCAGTGGTGCCACTCCACTGGGATCCAGGTCACCACCTGCCACTCCACTGAGTCTCAATCAGGGCACCAACCTGGTCACATCCGGCCGAATTCCCAGCCTCAAGTTAGTAGCTTAACATGCTGCTATATAGTGTAATATAGTGCTTGGTTGACATGGTTGACCAAAGTCATGGCTAAACTTGCCAAATCTCCCTGGAAATCATTGGTCCATGGATTGAGGAATTTCATGCATATACATGATGACGCGTGGCCTCCACTTCCTTCGTGTGGTTGTTGTCACCTAGGTGCCCGACACGAGAAACCGAGATGCGCGCGCGCACACACACACACACACACCGGGCGATATGCTCAGCTCAAGGGGCAGCACAGCCAGCTAGGTACTTTAGCACTCATGCCACTTCGCTTCTACTTCTTCTGCTCAAGAACCACGGCAATCAAGTTGGGGTCTTCAACACGCCCGCCCCACACCCACCCGCTTGCCGGTTGCAAAGCGCCGTCTCTGAGTGTTCCGAGCTGATCTGGATGAAGGGGACAAAACCGGAAAGCCGGTTCTTCTTGGCCGACCTCGGTGGGAAAGCACCAGCGTGGCGAGTTCAGATCGAAAGACCTATCAAAGAAACCATGTGCGGTACAATTGTAGAATGATCCAATAAAACCCGCCCAGTTTGGATGCACGAACTTGCGAGTCTGAACGCGTCCACACCACCCCTTGCCGATGTTCAGCGGGTGCGGGTGGGGAAGTGAAACACTCATGGAAGGTGTGAGAACAGATGAAAGATATGTACACTACGAACCTACGAAGCTACGAATGCACGGAGGGCGAGAACCAAGACACACGGACACACCATCGGATCCAAGAGTGATTCGGAATTAAAGAATGCACGCACCTAATTGAGGTCAGGATGTGTCAAGACATCTAAATTTCGCTTTGTACGCAGCGAATTGCGGACTTTAAATTGAAATTTCTGTTGTTTATCAGCATCTGCTTCTTGCCACCCTGGCCATTGAGTCTCTGGGGTGTAGCCATCAGTAGGCGGGAGGGGAACATTTGTGTGGTATGGCAGAGGGCACGGCATTGTCAGCAAGAAATCATGAAAGTATTTGTAAGTGGCCTCTCCATTCGGCAATGCAGGACGACAGGCAACCCCTCCCTCATGGTCTGTCGAAAAACCAAGAGATACTAAACTTTTAGAACCCTGCTTGCGATAGCTGGGTATAAATTTGGTTTGAGAGAAAGTTTGTAAATGCTTTACAATCCAACGGAAACTTTCAGCAAGATTACGGACAGACCTGTGGCTTGGGGGCAAGAGCATGACTTTGGGGTCAGACACTGGGTAGGCTCGCCACCCTCGATCAGTGCGAACTTTAACAGGGAGTGAGTGCCCAGACCATAACATGAAAGAAAAGGCAAGCTCGACCCAAGATATCCCACGATCATCCCGCCGTGGGGGGCATCTGCGCGAGGCCATTTGAGGAGTGTCAAGTAGCGCCACACGAGTCGAGACATATTGATGCCCCATGTACATGACCAAAAAACCACTTGATGTGGTTCAGGCGGCATTTGATGAATCTCTCCCAAGACTGTCCAATCTTGATATTTTTTAAGACGCAGGGTCAGGGGAGTATCTACATTGTTGCCTTCAGAGTCACAAGCAGGTTGGAGGTTAACCTGTGATAGCCCCATGGGCAAATCTTTATGATATTTAGCATCTGCTTCGGTTTTGAGGAGGCGTTGATATGCACTATCCAACATATATTGCCAAATTTGAGGGAGGAGTTTCTTTTGTTGGATATAGTGCTGACGAACATCGGAACATAGTTGATCGTATTCTGGCAAATCATTTTGGCGTGTTTTTACAGCTGCTTCATCAGCAAACATATTGCCCCAAATATTGAGGCAATCCTGCGGTGAAGTGGCATCTTCCACTTTTCTGTGGGATTTGATCTTAATGATGGTGTAGTGTACCGGGTCCCACCAAAACATAAGGCGTTGAATAAGATCCCAATGCGAGTGTTTATGCGGGTGGGAATCTACATGTCCATATTCAATGGCTTGAACAAGATTAGCAACATATTGCGAGTCTGTGCAAAAGCTAATTGAACTTTGTGGTTGTAGGGGGGCAATAGCCTCAACAGCCACAACCATGGCCTGGAGCTCTGCCCGATTAATGGTTTGAAGGCCTGTACAATGACCTGTGGCCAAGACTTGGAATGTTTGTGATTGATAGGTATTATGGGTTGATTGCTTTAACACAACAGCCCATGCGGCACGAGAGGTATAGGGATCCTGTGGGTTGTCACAAGACCCAATTTAGATGGCAAAACCTCTTCACATAGGGGCTTTATTAATTACTCAACAGTTTACATTAATGATGCACCTTGATTTGACTTGCTGAGGGCATCTGTGGCTGCAGGAAAATCCATACAATTGGGCGTGTGCATAAAACGGTCAGAGAGAAAATCCCCTTAACAAAGGAGCCACCAAATGATGTTCTCTGTGATCTTTTGATGGGTTGGCTTGGTGTAAGTGCAAAGTCCAGGTTCTCATCGAACACCCCTCAACCCAGAAACAGGTTCAAGAAACCTCTGCAATAGCTATACGTAGGTCTCATTGTGCCCTTGACGGAATACCGTGTGCTGTCTCCATCTCAAGATGCCCCTAGGTAGGTTGGTTGTCTATTCCCTGCTTTTTGTCTTGCTTGGACCAATTATCCTCGGGGGAATGGACAAAGGCAACACCCTCTGTTCAAATGGCATGTTAACAAAAACAAATCAAAAGGCAAACCGTCAACCGTATGGATTTATCGCTGTCCTCCTTCAAATGCACATCAGCCCAGCCCCGTTTCCAAGCTCCCCAACTTGCCCTTGACGTTGAGGCCTTTGCCCACGCCCACCTGCAGATTGCGCTGGTTTTTTTCTCCGAAGGGGTTGGTGCAACGAGCACTGGTAGGTAGGGATTGGAGCCAGTTGAGATGGCAATTCAAAGCCATCCCGGTTACTGTCAGGCAGTTTAAAACATCGGTCGTGGTCTGCCATGGTCGGTTGAACAAGCTGAACAAGTTTACGGCCAAAAAGCCAACAGGAAGCAACTGTGTTGACATAGGCCATATACTCAGCGTTCACAAACCTGTTCCAATCACACACACACACACATCTCTCTCTCAGTCTCTCTCTCGCGTTCGTACAGAAAAAACATGAAAAAACTCTGTCTGTAAACCACGTTGTCAACACATCTGCATTCCTTCTTTTCGCCCCAAATCACTGTGACCAAAGCACGTCTCCCGCATGGGGGAACCCATGGCTTCACAGCCTCGCCTTGCCATACATCTTCCGGATGGAGTCCGAGCTGCAGGGCCGGTACACCGCGAACCACCTGCCCGGCCGGGAACGTGATTGAACCCTAGGGCTCTAAGTACCTTCTTAGGTGTTTGGGGAGGGTTTAGAAGGTCCAAACACCGAGGAGGTACGACTGGAGCCCTAGGGTAAGGCTGCTTCGGACGCAACGCAGCATCTGAGCCCGACACATCGGAGCTGGGACCCCGAAGGAAGCGTCCATGGACTGCGTGCCACGATGCGTGCCCAAATGCGCAAGGTCCTGAAAGACCTGCTGTGTCTCCCACGGTTCCCTAAGCCTTCAAAACATCCTGGACGTCCAGAAAAAGGTCACAAGCAAACTGCCAACTACGGGTTTGGAACCAGATATGATGCCAACTACGCCCTGCTGTATAGTACAACAATTAAGTGAGCCACCCTTCCAAGACCTGGTAGGACCGCTGGTAGCTTCGTCGAGCGAACGGCCTTCACCTTCGCACTGGATCCCTTCCTCGCCTGGTGGCCTCTTTGGGATCGGGCTCCTCTCCAGCCAAGGAGCCCCGCGGCCCGCGGGAGTCCTCGGTAGAGGTGCAAACACGGGCAGACACGCGTCCGCGAGGTGTCCAGCGCGTCGCGATACGTCGCGCAGGGGGTGACGATGCCTGTCCCGGACTCCCACAGGGTGAAAACACCAGGACTCTACTTGGGTTCGACCTCCTCCTGTGAACGTTCACGCGGAATGGGATGTGGGATGACGCGGGACCTGCGGTTCCCAAATAAGGCACCTTCACGAATTGTCACTGGAGGAAGCAGTGAGCAGTAAGCGTCCTTGAAAAAGGATTTCAGCGGCTGTGGAATTTGTTCCACGAACTGTAACTGTTGTCAAATGGTCCCGATGGTGCTGACACGGTCATTCAGAAGGTCGTGGTCACTCATCAAAGGGTTATTCATCAAAGATTCTAGACAATATATCATAATACCAAAACATTCAAATAAATTCCACTGTCTGCACTTGAATTCAGAAACATTCTGTTTCATTCCCTTCCCTTCCCCCCAGAACTGCACTGCAAAGCTCAAATGCACACAGGTTTTCCACTTGCCATGCTCTTAGAGCATCCTGGGGTATTTAGTTTTGGATCCTAATTCATCCACAATGCTTTGCAAAGCCTGGGCTACCTCATCTTTGATGATCCCAGGTCTTTGTGCCTCTTGTCCTCTTGAAAGTTGGAAAGGACAAGTATCCTTTACAAAATCGCATTTTTTCCACAGCCAGTCATGAACCAGCTGCAACTTGAGTTTCCAATCTTCTGGATCTGTCTTATCAAAGCTCCTCCCAAAGGTTTTCTGACTATAGGGAGGCAGTTTGTGTTCCACCAACCAGCACATTTGTGTTCCACTGCAGCCTATTCATGCGACCTCCCAGGAGATCCTCATGTTCCACCGACTCGCCAGGTGTGTGCGGCAGGTGCCGATCCGCTTGGTGCCATCGGACTGGGGGCTCCGAACACCTAGGCGATAGAAGTCGGCCATCAAGCGCCGTGGGTCGGCCTCCTCCGCCGCGGCCTGCCGTCAGCCAGCTGGTGGAACAAGGGAGCCCCGCATGGGGGTAGTGAAGCTCCTTAGAGGATCCGGAAGGACGCAACATGAGGGTCTTGATTCATCGTTTCGCTCTTTGATCCAACTTTCAAACCAACTTTTCCAGGACTGGAGCAGGAAGAACAACCTGCCACATGCCACCCATCTGCCATCGAACAACGGCTCGGCGGTTCTTCCGCACGGCTCGCCTTCAGGTCGCTCCATCTGCCCAGCTTTCGCTCGAACTCCTGGGCCGCGAAGCACGGCCGGACACCGATCGGACACGGAACCCGTCCCAGTTGCCCCTTCCGTGGGCCACCGCGGACCGGTCGGACCATTTCGTGGTCATCTTCGGGAAGCAGCTCTGTAAGTCTGCAAGTCTCATGACGCATGCATAGCTAATATAGCAAATAACACAGTATTAACATCAACTACCAGCTTCTTCAAAGTGACCTTTTTGGAGTCCCTAAGTGACCTCAAACCAGGGAATCAAAAGGTCACTTTGAAGAACCAGGTATTAAAAATTATATAGAATGTAGCTTGCTTGACACTCCGTCTTTCGTAGAAGAATTGTGACGTGTCAATTTTGTTGTGCTCGATGTCCGTTCTGCTTGGCTTCTTGCATTTGTGATGCAATTGAAGTGGTTTGTTTTAAGCATGTGTTGCCGTGCTGCGTGTTAAAGTCATGCACATGTATGGTTCGACTTGCGTTATGGTTCTTCACTGTTGGTTTGCTTGTATTTGCTTGTTTTGTTTCCACTTTGTTTCGTGGTTCTGCTCTGCATTCACTTCACACACTTGTCGCTTAGTATATAATATTGTGTATATTCTAGTAGTTAGTGAGGAAAGGCGCAAAGACCGGGCCACACATGGGCAAACCAGTCTGGGATCCTCCACAGCTCTAAAATCAACTTGAGTATGTCTATATATAGATTCATCAAAGCCCCCTAACATAACCAAGAAATGATTTTCAACAAGCCATACCAGTACCAGAGTACAAATTGAATTGATGTTCTTCCCCAAATCCCAGCTGTGGGCATTCCAACATCGGCATGTGTTTGACCCGCGCGGACCCGCGTCCTCCCGGCTCAGCATCAAGACCTGGCGTTCGCGCCCACCAGCTGGGCGAACACACCGACGAACCGCAGGCGAACCGCAGAGGCTCCGAGCGAGCCTGTGGTCCATGTCTTTCCTTTAACAAAAACACCCCTGGCACCATGGTCCTTCCAGCCCCTGGCGCCAGGCCAGGTTTCTTCCTTGGACCATGGGTCCGCTGACCGGTACATAACTAACATCATATTATACTATAACTCTATAGCCTATAGCTAGCTATCTACAGTATCTATTGATCGATCGATCCATCTATCTATCCATCCATTCATCCATCTATCGTCTGCTTACAGTATCTACATCATACCTCACCCTGTTACTCCCATTGGATAGCATGGACCCCTCTCTGCACCGAGCTCCGCCCGTCCGCCTTCACCGTGTCTACCGTGGTCACCGAGCTCTGTCGGGGCCCGCCCGAGCGCAACGCCTGCCCGAACGGAAGGAACGGGTCGGCTGGATGTATCCTGAAGAGATAGATCACACATGATGATGAGGCCATGGAAAACACTTGTCAATGAAGCTTTAATCATTTGGTATACGGTGTAGTTGGCATTACTTGGCAACTGGTCATATCCGCGACTGCAACTGTAATAGTTGTAATATATATATATATAGTCTTGCAGTTCAATTCCCGTTGAAATCCAGTGCAACCCGGATATAAAGGAATCATTGCCTTGACAACATGTGGCTAACTGGTTACTGGCTCCAACCCACTTGAATGATATTAGTGGGATCAATCATCCCGAAGCAAAGAGGTTGAGACAATTCAGGTGCGTCTCTTGGAGGACTTCCCCACATCGCAGAACTGCCCTCACCGATGTGGCCCGGCCGCCTGCTCGCCAAAGATTTGCCCCTGGGTGTATTGCTTGGCCTCATAGATTTGGGCCAATCAATCATGGCAAGGCACCAGAAACGTGGTGAGACACGCAGTCTTTTTCAGCAGTCAACGACGTCAGGTCAGTGCTCTTTCAGGCTTTAGAGTCGAGAGTAGTGGGTTTAGAGTCGAGTCTGATTCCGTATTGAAAGGGTTTCATGTTTGAAGAGGCTTCCAGTATTCTAATTACCTACTTGGGGGCAAGAAAAGCTCTCCTGCAAACATTGGTCAAAGCAGGCCTCAATCTCTTGTCCATCTTCCAGTTGGATGGTGGCCACACAATCGCCCTCCTGTAGCTGGAAGAAGCCTTGAAGGGTTCCCTCTACACCCGTCAGCTTTCCTGGAAACAATCGGCTTATATATTAGCGTATATTAGACAAACCTTACAATCAGCACTCTAGTAAAATGACAAATCTGGTGTGTGGTGGTTTATTGTGTGTACATCAGCATTGCTACCGCGAACATCATGGCCATGGTAGTACGGGTAGCTCTCCAACTGTCCTCTCTTGCCTACCAGGCTTAACATGAGGCAAGGAACATACAGTTTCATGCACTCCCACAGAGAGAGAGAGGGAGAGAGAGAACAACAACTGGGGGGTGCTTGCACCCATCGAGGATGTGTGCACCAACGGTTATGTTTTTGGCCCGTCCTCCAGGATATAGAAGTTGTTGCTCTCCTGGCGGTGTCGTTTCGGTCGAGACTTCAACAAAACTACAGTACTCATTTGGCTGGCTGAAGCCCCATCTACCCTTGGATCCACCATAGTAGCCATAGTATAGCAGGGCCCCCCCTGCCCAACAATCCAGTGTCTGGGGGCATTCTTGATGAGTAATTATTACTACTGATGACCATTTGGGACACATTTCCTGAATATCTCGTGTTACAAAGTCTTTGATGGATTCATGGATTTCGGAAACCCAGCACTTCTAGCCCCTTGGCAAGTACAAAGAAGTCCTCCCATGATGTATGAGCCCATGACAAACACGTCGGTCTTCCTAATCTTCCTAACGACTGAAAACTCAAAACCTCTTCAGAAGCTCAAAAACACACTTTCAGCAAAACACACGTCGGTGTCTCTCCCCTCTACCCGCTTCTTGTCCGCCTCTACCAAATATTGAAAATTCCGTGAGGTGGCAAATATAGATCTGCCAACGGTTCTTGGTCTTACACATGACCGAATGGGATCTGGACATAGTTTCAGCGGAAACATTTGGTCCAAACATGTTCCAAAATGTTCCAAAGGCAGCAATAAAAGCACACTAACTCTTCTGTATCTCTCAGTATCTTGGAAGATGTGTAGAGGTTATTGGAAATTCACCTTTTCCCACCTGTTGGTCTTGGAAGATTGTGCCCCCAATCCCACACACACAACAAATACTTTGGGCAGGCTTGACAATCACGTACTTCCTGACGAAACCAAGCGAAACCAAGCCTTTCTCCCTCCCAGATCCAGTGCATCCACGTACTTCCAGATCCCTCGCCTCGCCCTGCCCGTAGATCAAGGCGTCCGCTTGGTCGAACCAACGTCGCTCCAGTGCCCCGGCCAGGAGCGCCACCTGGACTCGCCGGCGAGTCCGCACGGTGGCCCGCTGATCGATCGTTTTGATTCGGTTCCACAGCACCCATTGTTTTTTTAATAACACACTGCCTTGAGAGGGTCTCCTGCAAATTGGAAAGGTGTTATGCCGCACCAACGCAATGCGTTTGCATGTTCGGCCACGAGTCTTGTGTTCCACTTGTCTCAATGAGGCGATTGCTGAGACTGGCTGGCATGCCGGTCGCTCAAACGCGTGACACGGCAAATAACAACTGCACTCGCTGAAATGGTCATGGTTACGTGATGTTACGTGGATGGCATGGCCCCTTGGATGAGAATAGTTTCAAAGATACAGGTGGTTTTCCACTTGAATGAATACTTGAATGTGCCACCAAGGCGCTTCTCAATGCAACAGTTCTTGATCAACGACTTGCTGTGCATGCTGAACAGCATCGGTCGGGCCTGCGCATCGGTCAGGATGTCAAACTCCTTGATGTGTCGAATTAAATTCTCCTGGAACGCGGCTCCAACTCCCGGCCGATGCATTCTCACTACTGTTCGGATGTTTCCCAGCCTCGACCTACAAAACAGTGCAAGAGGTTCCAAGGGTCCCAACGACCAACAAAGGTTGAAGACTAAGAACCATACTACATACTATTTAAATAGGTTCTCCAATAGAGTCGTGTCTTCTTCTTCGATCATCTTCGATCACTGAACCTCTCATAAGGCACGTCCACCACCTGGTGGTGTGTTTCGTACGTGGCACGTCCCACGGTCCTTGTGGTCTCGTTCTTCAATCATCGAGACGAACTCCTCAGCACCTGACTCGACGGCAGGTCTCTTCGGGTGGCTAAAATGCAAACTCTTTCAAGTGGCAGTTCGTGCTGGTATGAAAAATCTGCCTACAGTCACTAGATGTCACTGGGGTGGTCTTAAGATTCTTCTTTAAAATAATGTATAAATTACAAATACTACAAAAATACTATACAGTCTATACACAATACACTTGCCAAAAGTTAATTCGATTCGCTTGCCTGACGGTGTCTTTTCATGAACACAGTTAAACTTGTGTCTGCCTGAAGTCCTCCAGTCCTATGGATACTTGGGGAAATTGACACTCGGTGCTTGCCACGTTTTGGACGTCCATATCTGCTTTGCTTTCCATCTCTGTGAAGCGGATTCATCGCGGACCGCCGCGGATCGCTGACGTTTCATACCTGAAAAAGAAAACAAACACACGTGCTGGAAGGATCATGTAGGATCTGGATAGCAACCTTGTTTGGATTGTAAAACATAATCATGATGGAATCTTAATGAAGTATAATATCATATCATCAGTCCACATTGGCGCATTTGTTCATGTTTGGCACCTGAAGAAACCATGACGGCACTCTCCACAAAACTGGCTGGTACATGCTGGTACTGATTTAGTCACTGCGCCCAAATGGATCGCCGTCTATCGTCAATCCCACCGCCATGCGCCATGACTCGTCCACTGTCCTCGCTCGCGCCGTGCTCTGGGCTCCCGACTGAGCTTGAGGAGCTTCACGTCGCTCCGTGCACTCACCGTGGCAGCACGGCCCTCCTTCCTGCGTGGCAGCACGGCGGGGATGAGGAGCTTCACAAGCACACAGAGTACACACATAGTACAGGAACTCGTTCTGAAAACAAGCACAACGCTTCTATGGTATAGCTAGTCACATGCAAGTGCACGTTTGTGCAGGTCAAACCCCAGTCACAAAAGAGTTACTCTCCCTGCAACAATCATGGAAGTGGAAGGTACCCCCACAACCCTTGAGGAGAATCGTCCAAGGGGCGCCAGCCACTTCCAGTACCAGCCGGTGTGCAAACACACCTACCGCTCTGCTCGGCCGATTCACTTCTTTCCCGCTTCCCTGCACGGCCGTCCTCAGCAGCGCCCGCTCGCCAAAGAAGCCGCCCGGCTCGTACTTGAGGACTTCCTTCCTTTCACCATTGATCTCAGCGGCGCCACGGTTCTGGGGCGAAACGGTGCTGGCAAAATACTGCGGACCATCGGGCCAAATCAAAACGATAAAGGAGCTTTTCAGCTTTTCTGGTCAATCCGGCCATAAATAAAAGCATCACATTCCAAGCTAAATAGGAACTCAGACCTGGAAATGACAGCTGTGCCGCTTGGTTCTCCTGCAACATGGGCACGTTTCACATCAACATCGGCCTACCCTGTTTTTACCAAGCTTTTCAACAAACCGTTTGTCCATAAGGCCAGGGCTTCAATGTAAGGTCCGGGCTTCAATGGAGGCATAACATTCTCCAGTATCCACAATGAAGCAGTCGAAGCCCTCCTCACCTGCCGAAGACGGCTCCTGTCTCGGACGCTGGACGTCTGATTGAATCACCACTCTGACTCGCCACTCGTCCAAAAGCCACACCCAAACGTATGCACACCGGGATCCAACTACCTTCGTCTTGGGGCGGATGCCAGGAGGATCTATAGAGTATGTATAGAGAAGGCATTTGGAGCCCTAGGGGCAGGAATGTAGGCCATATGTTTGGCATGAGTTCTTGAGAGACACACCCGGCCGGATCGCTTCCATGCAACGATTGAACACTCCAAATAGAATGATCCCTCACGACTTTCTGCGAGGATGATCCCTCACGTTCCGCGCATGTCCACAGGAGGATGATCCGGTATACTGCATGTCCTGGGTCAACCGCCTGGTCGACCGCTCATCCGATCTAGTCCGATCTCTGCATCACAGCGGGGGGTCGTTGACCATCCACACCAGCCATCCGAGCAGAAGCACGGCTGGCTGGGCTGGGCCCGACAGCCTTCGCGGATGATCTCCTCCCCTGCCTGGGGTCGGCGAAAGATGTGGTGAGCAGCAGCAAGGAGAGCAAGAATGTACATCGAAGTAGAACTCGTGAACCATGCAAAACAATCCCAAAGGATGACAGGAACGTGGCCATGTGGTTGTGTCCATGTAGTTCTTGTATCTTGTTTAACGGATTTTAACGGTATCTGCCAGATTCAATCCATTCGGCTCCTCTGTCGCACATGGAGCAAAGCAGCATCATGCAGCATCTTTCGGGTCAAGCAGTGGGGAAAGCTGTCTTGAGGAACTCGACCGAGTTTCATACTCCAAGTGGTTTGGGGTCATCTTGCAAAAATTGAGATTGGGAGGATTGCCCTGAACGTGCCACAACAGTCGAAATCAGTACAACCATCTTGTAGCAATTGTTGTTCTCTTTACCCTTGATTATAGTTTAGTCGACGAGGTTTTACAATCCAAATGGAGGGGGTTGTTTAATCAAGAGTCCACTGTAGATCCCTTTCGCCTTTCGCAAGACTCCAGGAGGCCAAGTATACACCTAGAACCCAATGATGCAGCGCAGGACAACCTACCCGAAGCCCCTGTGTGCGTCCAGGTAGCTGAAAAGTTGGTCAGCCTTGGTGTGTGGGAAGATTGGGTGGCTGTGCATTGAAACTGGTTGCGTGGTTGGCTGGCTGGTTGGTTGATTGGCCTTCCCAGCTGGCGGTCCCGGAAGCGGGGCACGGCCATGTGACCGAAACGGGCAAACAGCTCTCCGCCTATCCCCTCCAGAGAGTTAGAAGTCAGTGTTAAGAAGGTCAGTGGCTTCCCAACTACCGGAGGATGGTACCAAAACAACCTCCAAAAGAAACAGACACACTTCCCTGCCCAAGTAGATTGCACAAAAGCCAAGTATATAGAAGATGTCTAGTAGATTGCGTGGAATGAATAGGTTCTGCTTCTATTTCATGTTTGTCATGAGGCATTCAGATACCAGAGTCTTTTGACAACTGATCGTTGAATGACTGAGGTGTCAGGCACAAATGCAATACATGCCTTGCTTGAACTATTTCCTGCCTCTGAGGAAAGGTGAAAGAGGCATAGGTCCGGCTCCAATTCACTGAAGAACACCGATTCTGAGCAAAAAGCGTCCGGCCCTAAGACTCTGGGACCTTCGATGGCAAGAGTTTGGGAACTGCAGGGAGAAGCAGGATGATGATGGTTAGCTTGCAGGCCGAAATCCCAAGAATCGTGATCTTATACCGCCGGCCCGGCCGCTGTACGTGTTTACTGCGCCGTCAGCCAAGCGGCTCCAACACTTTGGCGCACTCCTCGATCTCCAGCTCACCCTGGCGCCACGTGAGGGTGGGCATGCAGCAAGCACAAGGAATACGCTCCCTGGAACTAAGCATGGAAGAGACAATCCCGTTTGTGGAGGAAAACGGCCTTCCAAGGACGATTTTCTGCTACTTCCGTGCTAGCTCCAGGGAGTGCAAGTATACGATGGTTCTTGAAAAGGGAGCCTTGCCCAGCAACCAGCACAATTAAACACACAACTCGCCCTGACAATGACGAAAACACACGAACACCGCCACCACTCACCTGTACCACCTCTCCAGTTTCTTCCAGCAGCTCCCGCAGCTTCTCGTCCTTTTGCTCAGCGATCGTCTCCACCAAGCTTTGTGGTGCTAAAACAGCGCTGGATTGAATCCGGGCTGTGCCTGAATTGATGACCAGCGTGCCAGGCGCGAAAAAAAGTTCTTTCGCTCTTTCTCATCTCGTCCACCGGCGACGGTGCGACGAAAGGCAAACCTATGGTGAATGGTGACGGTCAAAAAACGGCAGGCCGCAGGCGTCACATCCTTGGTCGCTGCCGGGCTTGGCTTTGCACCAAATTATCTCTCTCTCTCTCTCTCTCTGTCTCTGTCTGTCTGCCTGTCTGTCCTGTCTGTCTCTGTCTCAGTCTCAGTCTCTCCCTGACAACGGCACTACATATACACCTTGGTTTGCCCAAGTGCCCCAGATTTCACCAACTTCTCTTCGACTACCCCTTTTTGAAGAAACTCTTAAGGTGGCTCCGTCCAGCTCCGCTGATCATGCCAAATGGAAGGAATCCAGTATGAGACGAAACATCGGAGGGGAGATTCCACGGCGCCAATGTTCAACAAGTACTGAACCATGACACTTGAGATACAAGACCCCATGACACTTGAGAACCGTGAGCGAATGGGTCAGCTCTGTATATCATTGTTCTATGTTGTCCAGTTTTCTAAGTGACTCAGGTCTCTCCCCTGAGTGACTCAGATCTCTCCCTTCACTCCTGGCGTCAAAAGGGGCACCGGCTCCTCCGTCCGGCAGGTAAAGCCGTCGATGGGGAGCTCCCCTGTGACCCAGTAGCTGGCCATACCTCCGATGCACTGAGTCGATGCACCGCACCGACCTTCATGTCGGGGTGTGATAATGGAGATCCACAACCAAACACTCCATGGGACTGGAACATATGCCTACATAAACCCCCCTGGCACCACCCCAATGTAAATATGTCAGTCCCATTAGTCGTGTCTGGGACAAGTAGTGTAGGGTCGTCTATTGGAGACCCCGAAAGGAAGGTTCTGGTCGATTTGGTCGGTGTTTCGCGAGACCAGGCGCTGGCTACAGTTGATCGTCCCCACCTGGCAGTCTCCCCTTGGTGGATGTGAGCTCCCAAACATCCCCAAATGCTATAAGGAGCACATAGATCTGACGGACGATTCACGACTTTAAAGGAAGCATAATATATTATATATATATATCATTATATATATATTTATATATATACACCTTCACTGTGGACGTCATCTCCAGGTTTCAACTGCTCCCTCATTCAGCCACCGCTTTCTGGCTGCCTTGTGGAGTTGTGCTCTTTCCAAAAAAGAATTAATTTTCGTTTCAAATGTGTTCGAACAATCACTTGTCCACAGGCACATGAAAGTGACCTGCAAAGTAGCACTCAAATCTCCAAACGTGGGCGGTCAAGATATGTCAAGACCGGGTCGTCTCACCCTCCAGCTGCTGTTGACTGTTGGATACTGTTGGTTAGTAACTCCCACAAAAGATGTGTAGATGTTTGACCGTTCTGCTGATTCTGCTGGGGGGGTAAGTATCAATCAAGAGTCAACATAATGATGTTGGTTGCTAGGACGCTCAGCTGAAGGGAAGCCCGTTCACCAACCACCAACCACCACGCCACGGAGACGGGAGACAGCAAGGCTTTGAGACGGGAGACGGTCCAAGCATGGCTTCATGCCACTGCCAGGGTAGTCTCCACCCTCCCCCAAGCAATGCCCTACACCTTGCCAAATCATCATCACGCTGTTAGGCAACGATTCTCGCATGCGATTGCTCCAAGTGTAGCTGCCTCAAGGCTCCGGGAACAACCAAATGGGAAGAACCTAGCATTCACCTGGTACCGTACAGGTGCACAGAACCCACTATGTAGGAAACGACGTCATACACATGGTGTGTTTGATTGGACCAGTGTAGAGATTGATGGAGCCCTAGACTCAAACGTTGTACGCACAGAACACTGTTGCAATTTATTGAAAACAGTAAGTTACGTTCTTTGATTCATTGATGTTTTTGATCGAAAACCAATTGAAAAGATAGAACAAGAACAAGAATAACAAGAACAAGAACAAGAACAAGAACAACAACAACAACAACAACAACAACTGCTGCCATGTCGAGTTCCAAGCAGCTGCCAGGCAAATGAGAGCATGAAAACACTATTTGAATCGATCGCACTGGTCTTAGACAGGGGATCTCACTAAGTCTTGTGTCAAACTGTCTAAAGACTTGTGCTCCAATCTTGCAAGAGGTCTGCATGATATACTCCTCAACACCACCACTCCCCAAACAAAACACATGTTGGGGGCGTTTGAAGCGGCGCATTCCGCCACGGCACAGGCCGGGTCGTAGAGGTTCCCCACCACTAGAGCTCGGACATTCTGCCGAAAGCCCGCGTGCACGGGGACAGCCTCTCTCTGCCAGGCGAAAATCTCACTGAAGATTCCCACCTCAAAAAGGAAGGGCTATGAAGGACGGTGTTCGATCTTGGAGGTCCAAACCATTCCAAACCTACACCAACCTGGCCTGGCAAGTTGTGGAAGGTCCTTCGGGTGTATATCTTGCGGTGTTCTGTATATGGTGAGGGATTTTGCTGCGTGTGCTACTGAGACGCTTTGGTTGAGGGGCGCGGGCCGTTTCTGGATGCTAAACAAGCCAGGTTTCAAAAGGAGGCTCATGAATGGCCCTCAAAAAGAGCGGTTTGTCACTCTCCAATCAATTAAGGTTGCATCTGGAACACCTCCTTTGAGGACCCCGGCTGCTGAGCTAGCCGAATAACACACTTGGCCGCCTCTTAGCTCTGGCACCCTCATTCCCAGCTAAAACCATCGTACTCAGGGCCCTTGACCCTAGAACATCTTCACAGGTCTCCACGCAAAATCTCTTCCTGCCATTTCGTCCGCATTTCGTCCGCATCACGTAGAGGCACAAAGGCGCTGGTGGCCATCTCATCCCAAACCGAACTGAAGTCCTGCCAAATCTTCACCGCCTGATCCACCGTGAAGCGGCCAAAAAGGTCCTGACAGCGCGGCACGGAAAAGCATGGAATTTCACACCCGACCGCAGGCTGAGAGAAGGAGCAAGAGTCCATGTGTTCAGGGTAGATATTGCTTTTCCAAATGTTGGCCAACACCCAGAAACACGTAACTCTTCACAGAACTTGAACACACTGCGCATCACTCCTGACCCAGCACAGTGGCCCCATTCACATAGCCATCAACATTTTTCCTGGACACAGGAAGGTGTCTGACATCCCACGCATCAGTCAAACAAAGCTTCAGGCTTGTTGCTTTGCACATGCAACGTCTTCAGCTAGCAACGTCTCAGTTTGAAACACAAAAGGCCCACTGGCACCAACGGCCGGCTTTTTGGCTTCTAAAGCAATAAGCTAAACTTGAGGATTTACGCCAAGAGCTGGACTGCACGATTGCACGCACAATTCTCTAAGCTGAACGGCTGGACACTGATTCGATATACATGTTTGAGTAATTCCTTGAAACTCTGCTTCCCGCTGAGTTGTGAAGCATAGACATGCTGTCGCCCAGAACGTAAAAATTGCCTAGGCTGCAACCTCAAAACAAAACATGAATTATTCAAGAACTCTCTTCAGAAATCCTGAGAGTATATACTTTTACCTACCAAACTATACCAAACTGCTCTGGGGCATTTGATAACTTAAAACTAACGCTTGGTCATGCTGCGCGCTCCACCCCCCAAAAAGAGAGAGAAACACTCCGCATGCACAGTCGTCTCTTACGAGGCTGGCGTCGTCTCAACACGATTTTGGTCCAAGTCTCCGGTAGGGTGGTATGCCCAACGCTCCAAGGCTGCTGCTGTAGCTCATGCTTGAGAGGCCAACCTCGACAGCTGAACACACGATCAGGGCCGGGGGATGGGCGGATGATATGAACATCCCCCCGATCGAACATGGAGAACGATCTCCTGCACCATCTGGAGCCCAGAAACCCAATGCCACGCTTTTCCCCATTTCAACTAGTGTGGAATTTGCTTCAACGATCTTGTCATCGATCCTCCAAAAGGCTTGCGGAACATGATGTTCCAGTCCAGCTTGGCTGTTCAGCAAGAATTCAAACAAAGTGACAGGAACTGACTTGGGGTCACGGGTCACTCTATCCTTTCTTACACACCTGTTTCAACCAAATCAGCCACTATAATGTCATGAACTGCTGCAGGCAATTGGCTCTTGCCCGCTGCCAAAAGCAAAACAACTCCTTGTTTTTCACGTGTGAGGTGGCAGGAGTGTAACTCCATGTGCAGCAGGAGACCTAGTGCACCCAACAGTACGAGCACATCCGAGCACATCTGCAAGCCTATGAGGTCTGGGGGGCTGCCTCAGACAGAAGCCACCTGTAGGGACTTGAGTTCTTGAATTCAAGAACAACAGCGGTCCCTGAAATCATCATGGAAGCGGATGGTATTAAGGGTTCAGTTCAGGACCAATTATCTATACAAAAACATCCACCCCCCCCAAAAAAACAGAACGGCAGGCCCTGAGAGTGCAGTTTTTGGCTCTCACCAAAAAAAAGGGATAGTACCAGTACAGGTGGTTTTCCACTTCTATGATTCTTTCAGCAGGTCTATTCATCGAAACTGTGGGTGTCAACCACTCCTGCCCCACGCACTTTGCTTCATCCAAGTTGCTGACTGCTGACCGACGCACACGCCGTAGGTCGACCAAGTGACCACTCCACTCCATGGCGTGCCGTAGCCACTGGGCAAAACG